AAGTTTTAAAAGCAACTCAGTGATCACTAATATTATTGTTTTGTTACAAATTAATTATTAATATTATCAATTTGTAACAAAATAGTCACTCTATCGTCATCCCGTTAATTTTTTTTTGGTTGTCCTCCAGTTACAAGATTTCGTCTTGATTAATCTGTATCGACCCAGATCATAAATCTGACTGTCATCCCGTTAAATTAATGATGTGGTAATTTTAACAAAAATATTAATATTTAGTTTTATCTTTAAACTATTATTAAAACATCAAAAAAATCTTTGAACAATGTTTCTTACTTAATTTATCTCAAAAACTTTTAAATTTTCACTTTTTTCCAATTTCTTTTACCACCTATACTATATTCAAACCATTCTTTACGCCGCACCTCACCGGCCTACTCCAAGACAGCAAAGTAGAAAGACCAACGACCAAACCAGATGTTTAAATATGTGCTTTTAGTGTTTTCTTGGAATTTTAGGTTAAGAACGAATTCATTATATATAGAAATAACGTGGATGTTTCTCCTAACATTGAGGGGAAGAACCATTCAGAATTTAAAAGCAAAGATGGGGTGGATAACCATGGAAATGACGACAATCAAGGACAACTTGACTTGATTATTTTCAACATGTTTCCTTATTTTACCGTTTCATCATATCTTTTGCCTATATTGTCATGATTTTGGAATTGGTCTTTACCCTGGTTAACTGTTTTTTTAATCATTGAATTGAACTAAACCATAGCATTTTCGCCGTTGATTATTACTCATTACTTAAGGACAGGTAATAGTTTAAGGTGTGTTAATTAAGTAAAAAAGGGAATATTTCATGCATTTTTACTTGATTTATTGTTTGATTTCAAGCTCATTTAATTTGATTTAATTGCATTAAAAATGCATGTGATGTAGTTTGCTTGGTAATTTCTTATTATTTATAAAATGATGCTTTGATGGAGGAAAGGTAGTGTTTTGGTGTGTCATGTGCAGGTTAAGGAAAATTGTTGGGATGAAAAAATTGCTGCAACATTCTAGATAATATTTCTGGGCACAAAAAAAAGGACAAAATGAAGATATTTTTATAGTTGTTTACGTAACCTCCCAACCAACTGTGACCCACTTATGTGAAGGGAATCGGGCACATAAGAAATTAAGGCACAAAACCCTAGGAGCTTCCATTAAATAAAGCTAGGGACACCTACATTAAAGGTAGAATGGAAAGTGTGAGATAAGAGAGAGAAAAGTGAGAGGCGACCACTTCATCCTTCTCCTTCATCATGGTGACCTCCATTATTGAAGCTCCAAGGGATAAAACTAGTTGGCCTTTGAGAGAAGCAGCAGAGCTCGAGGTGGTTCACAACAATCCACGATAGCTCAGGAGTTTTCTTCCTCTTTAGTTTTCTCTTGTGTTGTTTGTTGTTTGCTTGAGGTTTTTATTCAAATGATCTTAATGGATGTTTACTACCCAGCAAGAACTAACTTAGCTTGGTTTGGGTTTATTTTATATGACTATATTTTGTTTTGACGAATGTTGAAACATTTCCAATTTATATACATGCTTTGTTTGATATTTTATAACTTTTGAGAGTTAGTCTTTATCTATGTATGATGCTTAATATTCGAGAGAGATTTAAGCTATATGTGGACAATGGGACTGAGCTGAGAAGCAAAACCCTAACTTGCCTTGGATAAGGATAGGGTTTCAATGACTAAAAGGAACAAAGCTTCATAGATAGTTTCATGTTAGGATTCACGTTGAGAGGTATTGTTTTAGCATTTTCACTGTCAGTAGCATAGAAACATCTTAGAAAATTCTGTCGAGCATCATATTAACTTGAAGTTGTTAACATTCATTGAGTAAAATGCATAGGATTTCAAGATAGACCCAACCTTTTATCCTTCTTGAAAGTTTCACACATGTGAGGTCGTATCTTCGTCTTATCATGTAAACTCAATTCTCAACACAATCTTATTACAACATTCCTTTACTTTTACCTTTTTCTTATAGCATTTCTCATTCTTCTTATTTTGTTACAGCATTCATCTCACACTATTCATACCATTTATATACATTACTTGTTTATAATTGATGTACTGTGGAGATGATTTCACTTGTGGAGATGATCTCACTCATCACTTTATTACTTGTTTGACATGTATATTTGAACAGTTTGTGTATCAAAATATAGTATACTTACACACACAACAATTGTCCCTTCTTCGATTGCCAAAGTAGGATCGCCGAGATTGTGGAAGACTATTAGTTTGGTGTGGGAGATGACTCATAAATGGATTTCTGGAACGATAACTGGCTAGGAGATGTTGATTTATTACGGGATGCATGATCCCTCGGGCATGCACAGTGGCGGAAATGGTGGATTCCAATGGCGAATGGAAGTGGCGGGATATTCTTGAGATGTTGTCTCCAGTAGTTTTTCCATATATCAAGGCCGTACCACCTCCGTCGAATCAGGGGAATAACCAGTGGGGTTTTATTGCTAATTACAAAGGACTTCCTCGTGTTAAAACACTGTTATGGCTGTTGTGCAAGGGTTGTCTGCTAACGAACGAGGAGAGGGTTCGTCGTCATCTCACTTCGGATGCGGGATGCCCTATATGTGGGATTTCAGTTGAATCTTTGACACACGTCTTTAGGGATTGTTTTGTTGCTAGAGCTGCATGGGAAAGTGTCATTAAACTGAGCAGATTTGAGGAATTCCTGCGTATGGAGATGTTGTCTTGGATCAAACAGAACTTTAGTCAACCAGGTTATTTTCCTTTGTGCGCGGAGAGTTGGGATTTGATTTTTGGGGCCATAGTTTGGAACATCTGGACGAGGAGGAATAAATTATTATTTGACGAGAGTTTTATGGTTGGCCAGAACATTCTTTCTCTAAGTCGAAGGATGGTTAATGAGACAGTTTGTGCTTGAGCTAATTCCATGGTTGCTCTACGCGGCCAAGGTTCACCGGTTCATGGACAAGATGAAGCGTGGGAACTGCCACTGTCGGGTTGTGTCGAGTTGAACTCGGATGTTGCGAGGCACATCGGTTCAGGTCGCACGGCGTGTGGGGGAGTCATCAGTGGCAGCGATAGGCAGTGGGTGATGGGATATTCCGGAACTATTGGGTTTGCTCCATTTTTGATGCAGAGTTGTGTGGTATATTGGAAGGCCTTAAGTTGGCAAGGGAGTTGCAGGTAGCAGCAGTTATAGTAGAAACGGATAGCAGTGATGCGTTTGAAGCTTTGAACTGATGTGCATACAAGGGGAGTGGCTTGTCGTTATTACCACACATCACATCAGGTATTTGTTGAGTAGGAATTGGCAGGTGAATATTAAGCGGGTCTCGCGCACTTACAATTTTGTAGCCGATGGTTTGCATAGTTGGCATCGCCTGAATGGTCTGGGACATGTTTTTTCCAACAACCACTTACCACCAGCTAGTGTAGTCGAAGTTTATCGTAAGGAAAGCAGTGCACATAGTCGCCCTGGAGGTCTAAGGTCAGAGCAGCAGATTGGTATTTCTGTTTTCTTCTACATGCAAAAAAAAAAAAAATATTACTCTCATAGATCATTATGATTGTATTTGTATCTTCTAAAAAAGTTCAAGATTCTGTTTTTTTTTAAATCTAAATTACTAATTTTAATCTGCTATAACTTCTTCGGTTTTACAGATTGATGTTGTGAAAAGATTGTCACATCAGTTGTGGCGATGTTGATGGAGGTTATGGGTATAAAATGTGGATTCTAACAAAAACCGAACAAGTTTTAATGCTGTGGTCCCAATGATCTTGACATCTTCATTTGATGATATTCCTAAAACAAAAATCCTAGGAAGCACGGGAACGTCATAGTTGTGCCGTTTTAAGTACTCGATATGTTTTCGGTACGAAGATGACACGTGGACGGCTGAGATGCGTACCGAAGACGTGCCACGGTGACAGGATACGGCTGAACAACGTCGAGGACGTTTCACCGAGACCTAGGGATCTTTTTGTCTTGTTCGAGTCCACCTTTAAGTTGTCGGAGACTAAACTCTTAAGCACTTCAATAGAAACTCAGCATTTATAGAGATGATCCGAGAGAGTGCTGGATGGGTGGTTAAAGTCTTGCAGATTGGCTACGCCCTTAAAGACCAAAATGTGCTGCTTCACCTTGTTGAATGTTTAGCTTGAGATTTAGAGAATTTGAGAAATCTAAACTGATGGGTTAAAAGAGAAGGTCAAAAGGTATTTATAAATGGTATTTGGTAAACATCAGTCATCATCAGAGGTGGTGGTCGGAAACGGATGATGTGATGGTAATCTTTGCCAGATTCTAGCTCTACTGCTTTATCTTTAAAAGCTAATGAAATTTTAGAGTTAATATTTTTTTAGACTTAATATTATGGTTTGAGTATTAAGATCTGACACTTTAATATTATGATTTTATTATGAATTTTATTATTATAGAGTTAATATTGTAGTTTGAATCTTGAAATTTGATATTTTAATATTGTGGTTTGTTTATGGATTTTACTGTTTTAAATTTAATATTGTGGTTTGAGTATTGATATTTAAATTTATTTATTATTATATATATATATTTTATATTTTAAAATTATTTTATATGTCGTACTCTGTAATTTTAAAAATTACCGTCCCATATCTGCCCCGGTGCAACATAGCAAAAATCTATTTTTGTTCGTAACTGCCTCCCAAGGAACAAACCAAAATTGCCGACGTTGAGAGCGACAGTGAATTTTATCTTCATTGAATCTCGACGTACGGGTCCTTTGCATTGCAGCCTCACAAATCTGGTACTGTTTTCTTGCTCCTGTGACGATAAAAATCTTCTTCCTCATCTAAATGTGACTAAATTTCGGATAGATTTGATGCAAAAATCGACGATCTTGATGTAACTATTTGAACTAGCCACATATAAAAATGTCATGGTCATTGGAGCTAGTAAACTCGTATATATGAAACATTATCCTGCTATTATGTTCAATAGAAACCAGAACCAGAAAATTCGGAACTAGAATGAATTTAGAGCAGCGTCACCGTCTCCATTGCCGTTAAAGTGCTTTATAAGTTTGAGCTCATTTAAAAGTAGGTATAATTGTGTGTACAGTTTCTGTTGATAGGTGCTAAAATCATTTATTCTTCATGTGTGCTAGAGTTCATATCGGAGATATTTTCCAGCACTGAATTTTAGTATGGGAGATGTTTGACAAAAAGTTACTTTGATTAATGATCATTTCTTACTTGGTAATGTATGCAGCCTTACCTGCATTCACCGAAGAGACGTCGGAAATGGAGAAAGGAATGGCCATGGGGCTTCAGGGATCATCTGAATCAAGTTTTAGTCCCTCATCAAATAATCTATCAAGAAGTAGGGAACAACAGAGATTGATTGAGTTATTTGAATCTTTGGGAACTCGGAATATAGAGCGCGGATCAGCTACGAAAGTCACTACTGCTACAAGGAAAGAACCTATGGATAAATGGTTGGCTTTGGAAGGAGAAGCTTCCAACAATTCTGAGGTCATAAAGTTTGATGATGACTCCTCCGAAATCTTGAATGGGGGTGGCACTGCAGGGGAAGATTCAAATGGACAGTCCTCGATCAAACCTAGTATAGGCTGTATAGCTGAAAGGACAGCAGAATGGGGTATTGCAGTGAAGTCGGATGCTGGAGAACGTAGTTTCAGAGTGATTGGTAGAGGAATGGCAACCGGAGAAGGAAGTCGGAACAGAACCTCATTAGACATATTTGCAAATGACTCAACAAGGACATCGGAGGAACCAAATTATGGATTGGATGGAGGAGCCTTTCCGAGGGTGTCACAAGAGCTGAAGGATGCTTTAGAAACCCTGCAACACACTTTTGTTGTATCTGATGCCACTAAACCGGATTGCCCTATAATGTACGCCAGCAGCGGATTTTTTGCAATGACAGGTTATTCATCGGAGGAGACCATAGGAAGAAACTGGTAAGTTGAATCTTTTAAATATGTAGAGGGGCAGTTGGGAGCTGTTCCAAATTTCACAAGATAGAGATTGTAGATAATTTTCTTACATATTTTAGAATAGTAATCATTTCAAGTACTGTTGCACACCCATAACTGATAGAGATTGTAGTTTTCAAAATTTCAATTACAATAAAGCTCTTAACATCATACTATATCGTATTTTGATTGATAATATCACCATACTTTCTATTTACTGTTTAGTAAATTTGTTTCTTTTCAAATACTACGAATTTGAGAGTTCGAGGATGTTATGCAGCCGGTTTCTACAAGGACGAGAAACAGACAGGAAAGAGGTTGCCAAGATTAAAGATGCAGTTAAAAATGGAAAAAGCTTTTGTGGCAGGCTACTCAACTACAAAAAAGATGGAAGTCCTTTCTTGAATCTTCTCACTATCAATCCCATCAAAGATGATCAAGGAAAAACGATCAAATTCATAGGGTTAGTTCGCTTTATTTCTTTTTCTTTCATAATTATTTCATGTCAATATTTAAAAAAAAAACGTATGCAAATCTATTGAATATTGCTGTGTTGTGCAGAATGCAGGTGGAGGTCAGCAAATACACAGAAGGTGTCAATGAAAAGGCACTGAGGCCTAACGGACAGTCCCAATCATTAATCCGTTATGACGGTAAATTTTTGGAGTATTTTATTGCTTGCTTTCAATTTTCTCATGAATAATCCTACATTTCTGAACAGCTCGACAGAAGGTTAAGGCTTTAGGTGACATCACAGAGGTTGTTTGTACTCTGAAACATCCTCAAACTCACATTCAAACAATAAGTAATGAGGCCCTTAACAAGCTTGAAGATCAGGAGAAGTTCAACCTCGATTACCTTCTGACTAAATCTGGCGAAACCGGAAGCATTAGTACCCCTGGAAGATATACTCCCCGTTCAGACATCAGTACTACTCCAGGACATGAAATTGGCAAGAAAAATAGAAAATCAACACGCATTTCGTTGAAGGGGTGAGTCATTTTGGTACATGATATCTTCCCCTTTCAGCAATTTTCTATTCAAAATACGTTTAAGAAGTAACTCCATTGTGATGAAATGAGAGCATTTTCTTCCTTATCTGATACATGATATCTTCCCCTCAGGTTTAAAGGCAGGTCTTTCAGCTTTGCAGCCAAGCATGAAAAACAACCAGTGCTTGAACCAGAGGAGTTAATGACCAAAGACATAGAACGCGTTGACAGCTTGGAAGATGGTGAAAGAGAAATGAACATACGCCAAGGGATGGATCTAGGAACCACATTGGAACGTATTGAAAAGAATTTTGTGATTACAGATCCTAGACTCCCTGATAATCCCATAGTAAGGAAGAGATTTCATTATTGTTCTTCTCACAGAATCAAAAGTCTGAGATTACTGCATTTTCTTCTTGAAAAATGTATCCTTCTACACTAATTTATTTGCTACTTTATGAAGTTTTGAGAAATCATTGAGTGAGCATTGCTTCTCAGAGCTGTTTTGGAACTCTATTATGTGTGATATTTTAGCCTGGATTATATATGTATCTGAAAAGCCACTGTAATGTTGAAATGTATGCAGATATTTGTATCTGACAGTTTTTTAGAATTGACAGAATATACACGCGAGGAAATCTTGGGAAGGAACTGTAGGTATGAAGTTTATACTACTAAAAATGTCAAAATTATGGTAACTATTCTGCGTTTGGTTTATTTTTGCTATGAATATTTACCAATAATATTCATATGCTCCTAAAGTTATTTTCTAAGTTCTAACCGATAACTAATTGGTCTAGTGGATGAAGCACTAAATCCATTAAACAAGGTCAGAGATTTGAAAATGAAATAAACTGGGTTGGGAGGTCACTTATATATGAGCTTCCGAAATACCCAATTTGAATAAATCGATTAATAGATTAGACCCTATTTTCTAACCTTTGTCCCGTTTCAACCCTTATTTTCCAAACTAACTACTACTTTGTTTTTTGATTAACCAAACTAACTACTTCAATCAACTTTCTAGAGGGTGTTTTCCAGAACCATATAAAACTGGCATAACATTTTCTTTTTCACAGGTTCCTTCAAGGTCCAGAAACCGATCAAGAAACTGTGTCGAATAGAAGAGATGCAATTAAAGAACAGACGGAAATAACTGTTCAGTTGATCAACTACACAAAAAATGGTTGGTAAAAGCAATGAAAAAGAAAGAAGAAGAAGAAGAATATGTATGCTGATAGAAACATTATTTCACTGAATTGTTAAAAATTTATGAACTGCAGGCAAGAAATTCTGGAATTTGTTTCACTTGCAACCTATGCGTGACCAAAAGGTAGTTCACAGTTAGCATTTTCATGTGAATATCCTGCAGAACATACTCTCTTTGACTATCACTTGTCACAAATTCCTTGTTATTTTATAGGGTGAGCTTCAATATTTCATTGGTGTCCAACTTGATGGAAGTGATCATATTGAACCCCTAAGAAGTCGCCTTTTCGAGACAACAAAACAACAAAGTGCTAAGTTGGTTTGTAATCTTTCTCTTCCAGTTATATACATAAAAAGTTATTTAAATTATGGTCATGGTCGCATTTTCAGTGTGGTTGTATTCTTTGTACTTAAGGACATAATGTATGTTATCATGATCTCGGTGAATATCAATTCATTTGATGTGTTGACGTCCTTCTATATATCAGGTCAAAGCTACAGCAGGAAATGTTGATGAAGCAGTTCGAGAACTTCCTGATGCCAATTTGGTAAGGTATTCTTTATTTCCCTTAGAATGATTGTTGATATATAAGAAGGTCTTAAATCAGTGATGTAAGATAATAAATCTGTTCAACATTTCTTGAATGCATTATAATCTTTTGTATGCATCTTATGATTTAATTTAAACGCGGATTTATACAATCACTTCTGGAAAAACATCTAACCTATTTATTTTTTTAAATAGGATACTTTGTATTATAATCAATTACAAAGTAAAGACCTCACTAAAAAATCTCCCTAACCCTAAATGAAGAAAAAGAGTGTACCTTAAGGTGGAAAGGATCTTATACAAGAATAGCTCTTACATCAAACAAGACATAACCCAAACCATAACCCAACACATACAAACACCAATACTTTCCAAACAGCGGTGAAAAATAGAACAAAATAGACAGCAAACTGATCTAAAGCGAACACAGCAACAAAGGGATGGGTCCAAACAGCAGCAGATAACTAATTCACCAAACCTGCTAAAACACAGCAAACATAACCCTACATAACACCATAACTTCTTCAATCTTCAATCCAACTCGCAAAACGCAGCAGCAATGGACAAAATCCATTATACAATCACTCCCCAACAAAGATAAACACATCAACGGACCATCAAAACAAAAACCGCTCATTACTTATGCCTGAAACAAGTGCTGGAAAATGTCGCAACTACCACTAAAGCAAGAGAAACAAGACAGCAAGGCTGCAAAGGACAAGCATAACACGAATCTTGAAGTGATAAAGAGCAACAAGAAAAAGAAGTTATTACAACAAACAAAGAGTTCTTCAAACCAAACAATACCCCACATTCCAATCGATTCTGACAACTGAACAAACCTCTCAAGCTTCCTCCAGAAGACCTGGAGCAGGATCCGAAAACAGAAACAATGAAGCAAAGACCCAGTGAAGAAAACAAAACAGCTGCAGCTGAATCTACACCAAACAATTACAAAATCAGTTCTTACACGATTCCTCAAGCTACTCCAACCTGCGCAACACGTCCCCTCTCGACGCAGAAAAAACCACACCCAAGGCCTCGCTAACAGCGAAAATAGCTTCAGCTTTGTCGAAACGATTTTTACACGGGGAGCGAGGTTTTGAAAATCGCATTAATTTTTAATTATCTTTTTTATGATTGAATTTTAATTAAAAATAATGTGATTTTAGAAAACTTTTCATTTCGAAAATTTGAGAATTCATTCACGATAAAAACACAGATTCGAAGAGTTGCCACCAATCTTTGATTAGGGTGGGATTGGGCACCCAAAAACATTTTTGTCATTTTAAATAAAAATTAATTTTAATTAAAACAACAAATTTAGATCCGCGTTACCAGAAAATGAGTTCGGGAGTCGGTTACGCGTGGGGAAGGATTAACACCCCCACAACGCCCTAAATCGATACCTCGTCGATTAATTAATGTCTTTGCAATGAAATTTACAAATTCGATTTTAATTTGGTTTATGATCCCGACAAACAACACATGAATTTTACAACTATCAAAAGCACCAAAATAGATTAAATTAAAATTACCAGGCCTTTAGAAAGATAAAGAATATTCGATTATTTAAAAATGTCTAGACTAGATCTTAAATAGTTATAACAACCTTTTCTCGATAAATTTAAATAGTCGAACATTTCTTTTTCTTTAATTCCCAAATTTTAAAATGATAAATTCATTCTTTAGGTGTCACTGATGGGATATACTTTTAATTTAAAATCGTCAAATGTGGATATCTAATCAGTTAAGACAACCCACTTCAACAATTTTAAATTAAAAGGATATTACCGTTAGTTAAATTATGTAATAATGTCGAGTTATGCACATGAGGATATCATGCAAAAAAATAAATAAAAATAATAATTAGATAATGTCACACATTCGAATAAACATCTAAGTCTAAAATAAAATATGCGCATACACTAAAATAATATAAATCGCTATAAAAAAAACCTATTGTCAATAACAACAATCTCATATTCAATACTGACATGGGGGATCAAAATAACAGAAAACTAGAACCAAGCATACAAAATAGAAATTAACCATTAAACTCAACAAGCATGCTAAGTGACTAAATTGTCAAATAACCAGAATTACAATTTACATTGGAAAATAAAACATAACATCAACTCAGGACTGACATGTAACACGCGAAACATTCAAGGTTAAATGTCTAAAAAACAGAAGCTAAGTACATTACTAATCAGGACTAAAATGCAACGTGCAAAACATTCAAGGTCAAACGTTTAAAGCAACGAAAAATCAGCTACAACAATACTCAGGACTAAAATAAAAGAAATCTAACAAACAGACCAGAAATATAAGTAACACAAAATGTATACTAACTACCGAAATGGACTAAAATAAACATTATGAAATTTAAGAGCCGGATACATGAAGTTGTGGGAAATTTAAAATAACCTAACCCATACTAAAATGTAACAAACATAAAAATTGAGAACCCAATTAGAAAATTACACAACATTGAAGAAAGAGTTAAAACGAAACATATGAGAACTGCAGGGGACGTCTGCGTGGTTAACCCTCTCCTAGGCGTAGGTCCTAAACGATGCCGTTTAGGAGACTGAAAATATTAGGTACCTTAGGTTTAGTTTTAACCTAATTTTCATTCTAAACTCAGCCTCACTTTGATAAACTCTCCCCCCCCCCCCCCGTCGTTCTCTCAAAGCTCCTCTCATTCTCTCTCAAAGCGACCCAAACGAGACCGTGGCCACCATGGCCGCCACCCAAGGCTCCGATGAAGAGCCACACAAGCTCGAGTCCACCCCGTAAATCGCCTTGGACCCTTAAGCTTCAAATCTCTCATAGCAAGAAACCATAACCCATAAGCTGAAAAATCTTACCCTTGATGACACAAAGAGGTTCGGGTTCCAGGCGGTGGTGATGGTTCTCCTCTCCGACTCAGGAAGGTATGGGTTGTGTGGTTTTGCTTTCTCCAACTTTTTTGGTTAGTGTTGATTACTCGGATATTTTCTTCTTCTTTTTTACTTTCCACTGATGGTTCTTGGTTCCGTGTTCTCTCTGCCTCGTTCGTGATGTTGCAGGTCACGGGTGACGGCCTCGAGGGACTTCCTGTGGGGTGCTCGCGCTGCTCAAGAGGCGTGGATCCTGGATGCTGTCGGCTCGTGAACAGGGTACCTAGGGAGCAGACTTCACGTGGGATGTTGCTCGGTCACAGCTGGGAGCCGAGCCTTGTCTGCTCAGTTGTAGTGCTGGCAGGACGTGGTTCACGAGCTACTGTTGGGCGCTCCACGTGGGGGACGAAACATGGGAGCATGGGCAGCATGGGGCGTTGTGGAGCCAGCTGGTAGCAGGCGTGGACCGCTTGGCATTCACGTGGGCAACTCGGTTGCTGCAACCGGGTCGGGTTGGTGCAACCGGGTCAGGTTGATGAAACTGGGCCAAACTTGGGCCTGATCTGCTTTTTGGGCTCTGGATGTAATTGGGTTTGATGTTGTTGTTGGGCTCTGGATTGGGTCGTAATTATTTGTAATCTAATTTGGTCTTGTAAGTGGACTTTAGAATTAATTTGGATTTTGGATTGACTTTGAATTTGTATCTCAATTTCCAAAACGAAAACGTATACGATATCAATCCAATTAAGCACCAAAGTTTCCAACTGCAAGCTTCCACGATTCATCACTTGAATTCATTCCCCATCGAGCACAAACAACTTCAAATTAATTATCGGTCATCTCCAGGGAATTTAAAAGGCCCGGACAAAATTGGGGTATTACAACTGCCCCTCTTTGCCCGTTATTGTGAACACAAGAACGTAGCAAAGACAAAAAATAACATAATTTTGTCTGACCGCAGCGTCTATTTTCCTTCTTCAGTCTTCTTTAACTTCTCCTCCATCTCACGTGCACATTCCCTTATATTGATTGTTCTGCTTCTTCATACCCGAGAATCTTCGATTTTCTTCCATATCTGACGATTTGATGATTTGCTCCAACATTATTCTGAAAAAGGCTAAAAATGGCTCGGATGCCTTATTATCCTGGTGAAAAACATCCTGCCCGAAGATCTTATGGATGACCCGAAGGACTTATCATCCTGCTCTAAAGGCTTATAGATGACCCGAAGGATTTAAACATCATGCTCGAAAGACTTACTGATGGCCCAAAGGATTTAAGCATCATGCTCAAAAGACTTACTGATGGCCCGAAGGACTTATAAATTGTGAAATTTTGAAAATCGCATTCTTCGTTTTCAAAAATTTCATCTTCTCAAAACATCGTTTTTTCATTTTCAAATTCATTTGAAAACATCATACCCGAAGGTTTTATGGATGGCCCGAAGGACTTATCATCTTGCTCTAAAGGCTTATAGATGACCCGAAGGATTTAAACATCATGCTCGAAAGACTTACTGATGGCCCGAAGGACTTATCAATTGTGAAATTTTGAAAATCGCATTCTTCGTTTTCAAAAATTTCATCTTCTCAAATCATCATTTTTTTTCATTTTCAAATTCATGTGAAAACATCCTACCTGAAGGTTTTATGGATGGCCGGAAGGACTTATCATCTTGCTCTAAAGGCTTACAGATGACCCGAAGGATTAAGCATCATGCTCTAAAGACTTACTGATGGCCCGAAGGATTTAAACATCATGCTCGAAAGACTTATTAATGACCCAAAGGATTTAAACATCATGCTCAAAAGACTTACTGATGGCCCGAAGGACTTATAAATTGTGAAATTTTGAAACTCGCATTCTTTGTTTTAAAAAATTCCAACATCATTTTTTCATTCTCAAATTCATGTGAAAACATCCTACCCGAAGGTTTTATGGATGGCCCGAAGGACTTATCATCTTGCTCTAAAGGCTTACAGATGACCCGAAGGATTTAAGCATCATGCTCGAAAGACTTACTGATGGCCCGAAGGACTTATACATTGTGAAATTTTGAAACTCGCATTCTTTGTTTTCAAAATTTTCATCATCTTAAAACATCATTTTTTCATTTTCAAATTAATGTGAAAACATCCTACCC